GCGGGGCAGGGCTGAGCCGGCTCGGGGGGTGGGAGGTTCATGGTCCCAGGGGCTGGGGGTCTCTGGGGGGTGGGAGGTTCATGGTCCCAGGGGCTGGGGGTCTCTGGGGGGTGGGAGGTTCATGGTCCCAGGGGCTGGGGGTTTCTGGGGGGGGGGTTCCAGTGGTCCCAGGTACTGGAGGTCTCTGAAGGGTGGTTTGAGGTTCCTATGGGGGGGAACGGTCCCAAGTCCTGGGGGTCTCTGGAGATGGTTGGGCATCAGTGGTCCCTGGTGTTTGGGGGGTTTCTATGGGGGTGAGTGGTCCTAGGTGCTGGGAGTGTCGGGGGGGTGAGAGGTTCATGATCCCAGGTCCTGGGGGTCTCTGGGGATGGTTGGGGATCAGTGGTCCCTGTTGTTGGGGGCTAGTGGTCCCAGGTGCTGGAAGTATCTGGAGGGTGAGAGGTTCATGGTCCCAGGTGCTGGGGGTGTCCTGGGCGTGAGTAGTCCTAGTGGGGTTTTGGGGGGGTGCCAGTGGTCCCAGGTACTGGAAGTCTCTGCAGGGTGGTTTGGGGTTCCTATGGGATGAACAGTCCCAAGTGCTGGGGTGTCTGTGGATTTTAGTGGTCCCAGGTACTGAGGATCCCTGTGGGGATCATTGGGGGTTTCTATGGGGGCGGGGAACAGTCCCATGTCCTGGGGGGTCTCTGGGGATGGTTGAGGATCAGTGGTCCCTGGTGTTGGGGGATTTCTCTGGGGGTGAATGGTCCCATGTGCTGGGGGGCTATGAGGTAATGGGGTCTCTCCAGTTACACCGTGTGGGTGCTGGGTGCCAAACCTGCCCACACTGTGTTCTGCCAGCAGCTGCTGCATCGGGAGCAAGCAGAGCCCTTATTCTGTTCCCCGTGAAGTTCCTTTCTGCCCCCACCTGGCCGGGTGTTATTGCACACTCACCGGCCTTTCTCAGTGCAAAGGTGCCCACGCCTGGTCTGCACCAGGTGGGGAGTTATTGTAGGGCAGGAAGAGCTTTGCTAAGGGAGATGAAATGACTTTTCTGAATGGTGAACATCCCTGCCCTTGGTTTGAGCTTCACCCCCAAGCTGTGTCCAGGCCCAGGGTCCCACCCGGCGGTCCTGCCTCACGCAGATCTCTGAAGATCTGCAGGATGGAGATGATAGTTTTAGCCCAGACGGATTGGCCCTGGGGGGGACAGTTCACAGTAGTTGCAACTGACATTTTATTGGTAACTACTTAAAATGAAAAGCAGGGGCCAGAGCCAATTCCCAGTAACAGTTAATGCCCCCATTTGATTTTGCTTTTCTTCTTGCATAACTTACCACAAGATTTCACTTTTCTCACAAGGAAATCCACCTCCTTTCAGCTCTTTAGCTTATTTCCAGCAGATGGATTGACAGCTGTCAGTTTTCCCCTGGAAGTTATATCTGAGATTTGTAGACTGCATGTCCCTTGAAAGAATTAGCCACAGTACTTTCCAGTTTAAACATTTAATATGCAGTGAAACTTGATCATTTACCATCCTATTGTCCCTAAAAGATCTCATAGAATCATAGAAAAGCAGGGTTGGAAGGGACCTCAGGAAGTCATCTAGTCCAACCCCCTGCTCAAAGCAGGACCAATCTCCCAAACCTATCCTCAATCATATTTAAGAGAATTAGCATTATTAGAAGACTATCTCTGTTAAGAAGCCAATATTATTCATCCCTTGAATGGTTATTTAAGAGAGGGTTTATTGTGTGTTAATGTATTTAGAGTTTTAAAAACTCTACTGTCCATTCATCTACCCCCTATAACTTGTCTCCGATTGCCCAGTTTAAATATTAATGTTAAAAATGTCTAATGTTTGTACAGGCTTAATGTCCTTTAAATTCATTTTGAGATTATTCTATTGGATTCATCCGTTGAAATGCACCTGCTTTAAAAGGTTCCGAAAACACGCTTTGCTGTCTCTCTCGCTCTTTTTATTTTTTCTTCCCTGAACTGACCATGAGTTGATAGCGAATTGTAAATTGCTATTTTTTATTAGAATATACTTTTGGGGTGAAAAATACAATTTTTCTAATATTGTTTAAATAAAAATGGTTAGATTATTTTAAAGTAAAAACTGTTCTTTTTCAATGTTTGCTTTAGGTTAATAGTTAAGCATTTACATTCTTTGGACATCTTAAAGTCTATTTTCAGTACATAATGTAACCATTTAGAAATTGTATTCATGGCAACAGATATTTCATTGTTTTCCAAGGTTCTGGTCTAATCAACGGGAAGACTGGTTCAGAACTTGTTTACTTGCACATGAGAAACTGTGAAGAAGTTTTGAAATATTTGAGAATTTGAAAATCTCTTTACATTAAGAATATTTCTGGATACACTGTAGGTCCAGTCTAAATATTTGCCAATAAAGTCTTAGCTACACCTTTAAAACATTAAAAACCCCAGTAAAAAAGCTAATAGTGAAGAACAGAATAGTAGGCAGGGACTAAATGGATGAGAACAGAAAAGTGTGAATTATAAAATGCTATTTGCTTGAAACCAAAGTGCATTTTTACTCATCCCTTTACCCTGTACTTTTGGTTGTGTGAAATACTCATACACTGGGTGAATGCTTTGTTAGGTTTTCTTTTTAGTGTTCACTCACCATGCATGAGCATTGTGAATACTACTCCTTGTGCAGATTTAAGGCACAAGTGCCAACTTTCCTGCGGTAAATAAGCACCCTGACTTTCACAATAAGACATACTCAAGCTAATCCCATTTCAAAACAAGGCAATCCCTAAGAACCCCAACTTTCTATGTGACTAGATCCCCCTGGCGTGCCGTCTGGGACTGTGGTGGGCCCGCTGTGCACCCCTGACTCTCTTCCCCCCCTTGTCCCCGGCTTGCCAGGAGCTGATCAAAAAAAAAAAAAGAAGAAGCTACAAGCCAAAAACTAGCCAACAAGCAACTCTCACGCTAATTAAGCCAAAAACAAGCCCAATTTCTGTGGTGGTGTTTTTTTTTCACGGGTTTGGCATGTCTGATTTAAGGGCTTGATCCAAAGCCTATTGAAGTCAGGGAGGGTCTTTCCTTTAACTTAAATGGACTTTGGTTCAGACACTAAATCACAAATAAAGCGTACAGAAAGTTACCAGGGTTTTCCACAAGAATTTAGTTGAACGTGGACTGAGGAGTAGGACTGTCATTAAGTAACCACAGCGTTATGCCCCAAATATGGGGAATATTGGTATAAGTTAAAGGTTGGAGATAAGAGAAAGTGGGGAGCTAAAAAGTGAATGGCGGGGCCATTCCTTTTTAGGATTTGGGACAAGGTAATTTAATTATTAGAGGGAAAACCTTCAATGGGTGACCGAGTAAATAGCTGAAGATCAGGTTGAAAAGGAATATTGACTAACACAATGTCTTAAGTGTCATTATTATTTAGAATGTATTCAGTGGTGTTTCAGGGCTAGGTTCTGCCACCCTTACTGACACTGAGTAGCACCTCACTCTGCCAGTAGTCCCACTGAAATGAATGGGACTCCCTGGGGAGTAAGGTACTACTCAGGGTGAGCATGGGTGCCAGAATATGACCCATAAAGAGTAGCATGGTAGTCAAATGTACAGCCTGTTGTTCATGTTCAGAAGCCGATTTTAGATCACCACAGCATGAGTTTTCCTGCCTTCCAGGAAAGCACTGCCAGCTGTACAACATTCACAAGACCAGGGCAATAAATGCTGTAAACTTGCATGTGTTTTGATTAATTCAAAATGCACCAGCACAAGATGGGTCTGATAAGCACCCAGACATGCCAAGCTAGTTAAAACTTGATTCTGTGCAGTGGTAGTGTTAGCACCTTCCCCTCCTCCCCCTGCCTCAAATGACAGACTTAATAATTTAATTTTGTATACAAAAAACAAGGACCAAATTCCAGACACAGGACAACAGGAGAACGAAGAGGAAGCCCCTCCCCTTTTTAAAATTGTCTTGTTTATGTGCACCTCAGTGGGGTTGTAAACCCAATGCGTTCTCAGACTACTCTGTCCTCAAACTTTTTGCATGTGGTTGCACCACTTCTAAACTCTGCTGTAAAGCCAAAAGAACTTATTTTGAATCAGTGGCGTTATTGTGGCTTTATCCCAGTGTCACTAGTGCAGAATTTGACCAGTAGATTTATTTTGTTGTTTATGGAAGGTTAGAAAACAGACATTATCTACCTCAGAGGTTCTAACAGCAGTTTTAGAGTTGGACTAGTCTTTTGGGTAAGTATGTCTTTAGGTTGGTTTGTAACAGCTGCTGAATTTATTAAATATATATTTTAATGTGAGTGCTACATATGCTATTTCATTTCTCGTCCCTAGCCCCAAGAGCTTTTTCTAAGTTACTATCTGTTCAGTAAATATGTATTTTGATGTGAGTTCTGCTGTTTGAAATGGCATAATATTTACCTGGGGGAGTACATAGAATGGCATTTATCATGTAAATCCCAATATAAGATACTTAAGCACTTTTTTCTAAAATGAGAGTTTGTTTCAATAGACGGTAATGTCTCCCTCAGATCAATTAAGATTCCTTATGCATCCTGTTCTCAGTTTGCCTGTTTGAGACAATTGATCAGAACCCTTTTTTGCCTGTCAGTCCTGCTGTCAGATACTGCGGGGGGAGGAGGAGAGGGGAAAAAAAGAGGTCAGATTCAGTTTACCTTAGTTATGTGATGAGGCCCATTACTTCAGTGATACTCCTCACTTGAGCAAGTAGAATGGGATTTGGCCCTATAATGGTATAATTAAAATCATTATAACCTTTTTTGGGGTTTTTTTTTCATGTATTTTAACAGGAATAAACATGTATAGTAATTCACTTCTGAACCCCAGCGTTTCACTTGCTCTTAAATTTTTGGTTTTCAAAATGTACAAACCAATTCCTAGTTCATTTTGTGTTTATACAAGTATGCCTTAAACCAATGGTTGAAATTTACAATGGACAGCCCCTCCTTCTACAGCTCACATCAACACCTATCTGGGTGTGGACTGTTTATGCCAAGCTACTCTCTTAGATACTAAAAACCCCTTTTAATTTAGATGCAGAATATGGTCTAGATAATAATCAAAACATCCCTGATTAAGCTTTTATTTTATCTAGTTCCAAGAGGACTTTTGTGATAAAAGTATAATACAGTCTTACATTTGCAAAAGCACTCAACCATAAAATATTAGCATTAGAATCTAGAAGGAAAAGTGATTCAAAAATCTTTAAATTCATTTATGAATTTCTCAGCATTAGCTTCTCTTCAAGGCAGGGCCACTTATCTATTTGGCACACTTTACTCCGTTTACACTTAGTCAAATACCTCAGGCCATGAATTAGAAAGAACATCAGCATACGTTTAAATCCATCACTATTCAGCACAGCATTTTGGGAAGCTTTCCTGAATGGGGGTTGTAGACGAATTCCAGTTTTACCCCTCACATATACATGGGGGTAGCTGGTGGCAGAGTTGACCTTTCAGCCCTGATCCAGACCCCCTACGTAGTCATGGCTTGTTTAAACATACAGGTCTAGATTCTGTTGTTATATATGTTAAATGAGCCATTGTAGCTTGCAATCTTTTCAATGTATTGTAAGGTTCCCACAGAAAAGCGTAGCAAAAAGCATTGGACTGTGCTATTTTTGGAGTGCTTTTGTTTGCCTAATACTATTTATCTGTTTATTAAACTTCAGGCTTGCGACAGGGATCTACAGTGTGGGGGTGGCATGTGCTGCGCTGTTAGTCTCTGGATTCGCAGCCTCCGAATGTGCACGCCAATGAGCGACTTGGGAGAAGAATGTCATCCTTTGAGTAATAAAGTTAGTATGTACTAATGGCGGTTCTTACGATACTGAAACTGACAAGGCAGAAATAAATGTGAATATATTTTGTTGTAAGTCAAATTGCATAAAAAAATTATACATGGTAAAAACGCAGGGATCTGTAGTGTCAGTTACAATACCCAGCAGTTTGCTCCTTTATGGAAACAGCATTGAAGGAACATACGTAAAGAAATATATTACTGTCAAAATTATTCTGAAGAAAACCCAAGGTCAAAAGTACTGTACGTTTTTCTTTTGTATTATTTGATAGAAACAGTATTTCACAGTTCCAGGGCCCAACTCTTGATGCACTTCCTCATGCAAGTAGTCCTTGATAATACAAGTAAGTGCCAGTCGCTTCAGTGGAACTACTCTAGTGAGTAAGAACTACAGTAGTCACACAAATAATAACAACCCCAGTAGGCACCTGGTATATTCATTGGAGCGCATTCCCTGATATTCCACATCAATGCCAGTTGTGCTCTTGCTCTTAAAGATCTACTGATGCCACAAAAAGCCATTTAAAACGATATTGGTTTCCAAAAAAGTAAAACTGCATTTGAGAACTCTCATTTAAGGCTACCTTTACTAAACTGATGCTCAAAAACATATGACTGAACATCTAGCTCTGACCAATATTTTTATACAGTACAAGCCACATTGGAATATCTTGTCAAAATGCTTAACCTTACTTGCAAATCTAAGCGCACGATCCAAGTCTTTTCCAAGCATAGTCAACAGCATCCACGTAACCCAAAATACTAATTACAACTATATACATTGAGCTAAACTTTGTTAGGGTTTAGTCCTTTAGTTGAAGTTGGTGGGAGAGAAATTGACATAGAATGAAATCAGAACCATATATTCATTTTGAAAGGGGTTTTGCCAACAGGTTTGAGATGATAATTTTAAAACTTGGTGGTCTTGAAGGTCATGCCAAAGAAAATATGTGACCTAAAAGTAGCCATGTGTGGAAGATCTTAATTTCAGATCTGTGAGTGCAGTACAAATTAGTTGTATCTCTGACTAGCTGATTGTAGGCACAACTTTGTGTCTGCAATTCATTTTCTGAAAGGAAATACAGGTCTCGGGGCTGGTCCACACTAACCCCCCACTTCGAACTAAGATACGCAACTTCAGCTACGTGAGTAACATAGCTGAAGTCGAAGTATCTTAGTTGAAACTTACCCCGGGTCCACACGCGGCAGGCAGGCTCCCCCGTCGACTCCGCGTACTCCTCTCGTGGAGCAGGAGTACTGGCGTCGACGGCGAGCGCTTCGGGGGTCGATTTATCATGTCTAGACAAGACGCGATAAATCGATCCCAGAAGATCGATTGCTTACCGCCGGACCGGAGGTAAGTATAGACGTACCAAGATACCCTTAAATCTTCCAGTAAGATATTAGGAACCAGATTGCACTAAGTAATGTCATTTACTCCCATTTTAAGACCCCGTTACATTAACAGAGGGATGTACATAATCTTCACTGTAAATGAGAATCAGGACCTAGTTGTTCAATGAGTTTATTATTATTATTACAATAATTTATAATGTCAACTATATTCTTTAGCTGAGTGTACACAGTGGTACAGTTAATAAAGAGGAATATCCAGACCTGGTTTACAGTTAGTCACTGAAGTTTACAACTTTTACAAGGTTAATTTTAAACTTATGCTCTTGACCAGGCTATTGTACTTGACAGAACTCTGTGAAATTAAATATTTTCAAAGATAAAGAGGGGGAGGTGTTCCTCAAGGTTTCTTTCCTCTCCTTTAAATATTTTGTGTGTGAGGATTGAGAGACCAGTACTGTTGAATATTGAAACATTTCATTTGTCTGCAGGTCAGGTACAAACCACACCCCTTCAGTTTATACTTTCCCACACCGTTTTGCCATTGAATTTAAATGCGCTCTGCAAAGACTAACCTACATTGCGAGGCAATTTAGTCTTCATGAAAGATTAGCCTTGCGCTCACTTGGGCGGAAACTCTCACCTGTGTTAAATAACACATGCTGAGTTTGTGTGGTGGACTCCTGACTGTGAACAACTGTTCTGAGACCACTAAAAGCATTTCACTTAGTGCAGAAAACTGCTCCTTAGGCTACGTCCACGCTTAAGTGTAGACGCTCACTACAGCGATGGGAGGGGTTCTCCCATGGCTGTAGTGCATCCACCTCCAAAGAGGTGGTAATGTCATTGATGGAAGAATTCTTCTATTGTCCTAATGCTGTCTACATGGGGGATTAACTACATCACTCAGGGATGTGGATTTTTCACACCCCTGAGTGATGTAGCTGGGTTGATGTAACTTTTTAGTACAGACCCGCAGGGCCGCCCGGTGGGGGGGCAAGTGGGGCAATTTGCCCCAGGCCCCGGGCCCTGCAGGGGCCCCAACGAGAGTTTTTTTGGGGCCCCTGGAGCGGGGTCCTTCACTCGCTACGGGGGCCCCAGAAAACTCGCAGGGCCCAGGCCATCAGAGCTTCTTTCGCTCTGCATTTTAATTTAATTTTAAATGAAGCTTCTTAAACATTTTAAACACCTTATTTACTTTACATACAACAATAGTTTAGTTCTATATTATAGACTTACAGAAAGAGACCTTCTAAAAACGTTAAAATGTATTACCGGCACGCGAAACCTTAAATTCGAGTGAATAAATGAAGGCTCGGCACACCACTTCTGAAAGGTTTGCCGACCCCTGTACTAGGCTATTGCCCTAATCAGTCCTTCCTCCCAAATTAAACATTAATCTCCCCACACACCCCAACATACTTTTCCATGTATAAAATGAGTAAACTATTATTTCTATACCTATTGTACAGCAACCGTTGTTTCATTAAGGCTCAACCCAGATACGTACACCCTGTGTCCTGTCAGATCTCTCTCTGTTTGTAGTGCATCAGTCACTGTCTATCTAGGGCAATGCCGTGCAATCTGTGGCCCTTAACACTAAATTGTGGCCCTTAAGGTCAATTGTATGAGGTGGAAAGTGTCGTGATTGTGGATAAAAAACGTGCTCCCTGAGCTGCCCCTTGTAATTTTTCCTAAATTGAAGTGTTTGAATCAGCCCCTTGGCTTGGAGGAGGCAGTGGTGGGCGTTGCCTTCCCAACTGCATCCCACTCCTCCTACAGCGTCAACAGCAGCTCTGGTGTGAGCCAGTTGTGCTCTGAGCAGCTGCTCTTCCTTCCGGACTGCAGCTGGTAAGCAGTTCCCCTGCTGGCTGCCTGCTGTGTTGCAGGTGGAAGGAGGAGAGAGTTGCTGATCCATTGCCTGCTTCCTTACTGAGCTGTGGGGAAAAACTGGCTCTGCCTAGCCTAGAGAAGTGCCTAGCAAAGGGTGGCTCCAGCCCCTGACACAAGGCAGCCTAATAAAGGGGGGGAAAGGGAAGCAGATGATAATT